GCAGCGTCCCACATACAGCAACTAGAAAGATGTGCATCTATGACATACAACCGTCTACTGGGGCTTTGGGGAGCAAAAGGGAAAAAAAGGAGGAGGATTGGCAATAGATGTTAGCTCAGGGCCGGTCTTCCTCAGCAAAAAGAGGAGGATTGGCATGGATGTTAGCTTAGAGCTGATCTTCCTCAAAAAAAAAACAAGACCCTGTCTCCAAATATAATCACATTCTGAAGTACTGGGGATTAGGACTTCAACCTATAAATTTTGAGGGGACACGATTCAGCCCATGACAGAGTCCATAGAAGGGCTTCTGGGGCTTTGTGAGCCCCCAAGTGTGAATGCTGAATTTTGCACAAGTGTGCATTTGTCTAAGGTGTGTCCACAACATGCAACTGACTCCTAAAGGGGTCCATGATCCCCACACCCCACAACTGGCTGTTGCATTAACTGACTTGGGAGGCAGTTAAAGCTGTGGGACAAAGGCCTAGAAATACCATCTGCATCGATAGACATGATTTGGTGTTCAATGGTATATGAAAAATGAGAGTTGAAGCTGACTATTAGGACTGCAAGTCTTAATTGTGAGGCACTGGAAATTCTGTTAGAACTGGTATTGGGGGAAAGGGGATTTTTATTTTTGGACCTTACTTGAATTTCATGGCAAATTATGTAATTTCCATGATTGTCAATAAAAAACACTGGTGATTTTCCATAACTAAGTGGATTCAATGAAACTAACCTTCTGCTTATTATGTCCTTGCTAATATTTTCCTAAAAAGAAAGTCACAGAGCTACAAAACTGTCACCAGCTGCTTCTCATTAGGAATGTGGTTAGCAGATGTGGGTTTTCATAGTCATAACGTATGAGATAGTTAATCCATTTTTGTGGTTTTCAGATGGATGATGATTTATCTTGGCAGGATGAATTTTTAAATGTGCTTATATCAGCTAAAGGATATATGCACCTTTCCCTCTTTCACTTCATGTTTGTGCGGGAGAGAAAAATACCTTTTAGGTTATTTCTCCCGGAAGGCAAAGGAGTACTGTCTGTTGAAAGGGACAATTGATCTCACTGTCTTCTAACTGGGGAAGAGTTGTGTGTGGATAATTTTGCAAAGTTAGGTGTTGGATTGGTTATCTTACAAGCTTCTTTCTCCCTTTGGCCTCTTCTTTAGTAGTAATTGAGCAGTTCTTGCTTTTGTTCCTCTGGCATCAGGCCACCTCTGTGGTAGTGACCTTCAGGCTTGCTAAGGGCTGCAATTTTGCCTGGGGCCCTCCTTCCTTATGAAATTACACAACACTCAAACCTTGGAACCAGCCCCAGATCCACTAATTCTTTGCTTTGACGGACTCTTGGCAATATGTTCTCCCTTTCAGCTGAAGTGTAGCTTTATACAAGATCTGTTTGTCACCGAAATTAATTTGGCCATTTGCCATTTAAGCCTGGAATCATATGATACTATGGCAGACTCATTCCTAGATAAAGTCTAGACTCTCAGCTGCAGAGTTTCTACCAAAGGTTTTATTGTTGCTGCTGCTGAAGGTCAACAGGTAATATACCAGCAGCAGGTACTTTTTATGGACCTCTTACCCTGTACAGGTACAGTGCTGCTAAACGCTTTGCATATGTCATCCCAGTCAACCCTCGCAACTGCCCTTAGAGGTAGAAGGTAGCTGAATTTTTCTGAAGAAGAAACAGGCCTGTGACCTCAACCTTTTGACCGTTATCGTATATACCTAGTAAGTGGCCAAACTACAATTTGAACCTTGTGCTCTTAATTACTGTGCTATATTGTACATCCACTGTGAGGGAGAAGAAAAAGAAAAGACCACTGGTTTTTGAGAGAGCGTAGAATCAGAGCCTGAGTCATAGAATTGTAGGAAATTATGGAACTGAGAGAGCTAATCCAACCCCCTCATTTTAAAGTAGCAGTCATCCCTGCCTTGTTCTGAGAAATCGTAAGATAACAGCTTGAGCGCAGGAGAATACGTATTGATAGGTGACAGGAATGAAGGGTTATTAGGAATTATCTCAGCCATTTCCTTTTTTAAAGGTAGATAAAATAACATGCCTGTTCAAAGAATTATCTAAGCTTGTCTTGCTGTCCCTAAGAAACCGTGGAAACAGATGTGTACTCTTTTTATTTCAGATTTCATTATCCACAATAAGTAGATTTCCACTGACTACTTGAGATTTCCTAGATGGTAATTTTCACTCTGCAAGGAACCAGTAACCTTCAGAAGGATTATTTGAAACGACTACAGCACAGGAGGCACTGAATTTCAATCAATCACATGTTTAATGAGTTCCTTCTCTGCAAGGCAATATTTTTGGAATAGTGGGGAATAAAAAGAAGTCGATGGGTGGTCCCTGCCTTCCTGTATTTTATAATCTACTGGGGCAAAACAGCCAAGCATAGAAGAAAATTGTTCAAAGGAAAAATTGGGTCGTTGGGGAAAACTGGGCTGAGATCTTGCTAGGTGGGAAAGTGGTAGAAAGCGGCAGGAGGTGTTTGGAAGGAAGGACTCAGGAATGTGCAAGGCGTCATTGAGAGACACTCACTGGATGAGTTTGGCCGATCAGAAAGTAGTGATGAGGGCCGGCCCGGTGGCTTAGCGGTTAAGTGCACGCGCTCCGCTGCTGGCGGCCCGGGTTCGGATCCCGGGCGTGCACCGACGCACCGCTTCTCCGGCCATGCTGAGGCCGCGTCCCACATACAGCAACTAGAAGGATGTGCAGCTATGACATACAACTATCTGCTGGGGCTTTGGGGGAAAAAATAAATAAATAAAATCTTTAAAAAAAAAAAAAAAAAAAAGAAAGTAGTGATGAAAGAGAATGTTGAAAATTAATTTAGGTTCTGATGGAGGACCTTGTAAAAGCAGCTCAATAATTTGGGAATGTTTTATGGATATATTTAAAAATAATTTTTTATGTAGAAACCCACAAGTAATCCAAATATCAATCTCCATTACTTTCTCTCCTCCCAGGTTTAAATATTATGTTATATAACTTACTATCTTATATATAAGCACCCTCACTTACCATTTAGTTGGAAGATCTATGACTTCCTCCAACTCTCTTGACCAAAAGGTCTTCATACTCTTGGAAGGAGTTTCCAGCTTCCCTTTTGCTAATAAAGGTGTCCTCAAGTGCCCAACCCTTTGTGAATATGTATATAAAAGTGTTGAAAATAGTGCTCATACTCTAAGGGATCAGCTGCCAAGTGCTCTCTAATAAGCAGAAATTTCACATAACTCAGGCCTCTGGGGGCTCATGCCTCAGCTGGAGAAAAGCCAGAAGTGTCTGTGACTGCAGGTGCGCTGGGGCACATTGGGACCTGCCAAAACAGCTAGCTGGCCTCGCTGCAATTGATTTAGGAGAGGGCTGGAGGGTTGAGCTGCTGACATTTGCAGCTCGGAAAATCCTGCTCCATTAATTGCAAAGAAGATTCTGCTGTAATGATTTTTTTGGTAAGATACTTTTCTCATTTTGAATTCTTCCTTCATTTGGGCTCTGGTTGCTTTCCAGTCTCTATTTTTATGGTTTTAACTCCTGGTATAGGAGGCTGTTTGGAAGTTTCTGCCCATACATGCATGTGCATTCATAGAGTGGTGCGTGGACATGGCTTACGAGCTTCAACATGTACTTCATGAGCAAGCAGGTATGCAGCCCCTTTTACAGAAATTGGTGCACATTCCTTCTGCTTGCACCAAATGAAAACGTGAGGATTTCGATTTTATTGCTGAAGGAAAGTTAGACGGCACCTTGAACTCATGTTTTTGCTAAGATCTCTCTCAGCAGTGTGATTTCTGGACCCTCATTTTTGAGGTCTGAGGAATGTAGTCAAGAAAAGCAGTGGACCAGGAGGCTGGGAGACCAGACAGTTGTCTCTACTGCCTCACTGTGGGCTTTGAGCTCGAGTCTTGGGCTCTCCAGGCCTCAGTTTCCTCTGCTCTTCCAGCCCACGAAGCTGGAAGAAGTGGGTGGATTGCATCACCCATGTCTTAGGATAAAAGCCACTGCAGGCTTTGCAGTGTGCATACAGTTTCTGGGGATGCTCATCTACACTTACCCCAACAAAGGGCCATGGCCTCCAGAGTAAGAAAGTCAGATCTACAAATTCAAGTCCAAACACTCCAACATTTGATTATATGAGGCTTTTCACACTCATATCCTGCCATCTCCAGGGACCCGATGCTCTGTTCACGTTGGAATTCTGGCATCTTCCTAAGTAATCATCATTCTGCAAATATCTTTGTGGCCAACCTATTGTGGCTGCAGGGCTGAAGAAGACATGGTGCCCTCACACATTGCAGGTAGGAAAACAGGTGATTACAAAGCAGAGTGACAAATGCTTTGATTCATGCCTCTGGACCTTTGCTTATGCAGTTCCCTCTGCTCCACCTATTCACCTTCCATTGTCACCTCTGTGCAGCTGACCTCGGGCCCAACCAAAGTTTCTTCTACTCTGCTCTCAGAGCGTTGTCTAGATGTCACTTAACCACATAGTATCACACTAGGTTGATTGGTTCTCCGTTTTCCTCCCCCACTAGACCGCCAGCTCTCAGCTGTGGTACGTTTTATTCAGCTCATCTCCAGGCCTCAAAAGGAGCACACGGCGAAGCACTCAGTAAAGACGGAATGAACCAATCAATGCAAGAGTGAACGTGCAACCCAGTCTTGCAGGCTTGCAAAGTGCTTCTTGAAGCTGATGTTGCTTTCCGTGCCCAGGCAGCTCCGGTGAATTGCACGGTAGAGGTCAGGAGTTTGCGGGGGGGAGGGTTGTTGGAGGCGAAAGGAAGGAGAACGCGAGACTGAGCACCACTGCGCTTGGGCTGCCCACGTCCGGTGAGCCGCAAGGGACTGGACTGCGGGCAGCTACTTAAGCTCCCGGAAGCGGCTCGGCCGGCGTCTCCCCTCCCCTCCGGAGGTGGGCGTGGCTCATGAATAATGAATCACCGCAGGGGGGGGAGGGGGGCCGGGCCCGCCCCCTCGAGCGGGAAGAGGGAAGCGCCGAGGCTGCCTGACTGGAATGAGGGTAGCTGCGACGACTGCGGCGGCGGGAGCGGGGCCGGCCATGGCGGTGTGGACGCGGGCCACCAAAGCGGGGCTGGTGGAGCTGCTCCTGAGGGAGCGCTGGGTCCGGGTGGTGGCCGAGCTGAGCGGGGAGAGCCTAAGCCTGACGGGCGACGCCGCGGCGGCTGAGCCCGAGCCCACTTTGGGGCCGGCGGCGGCCGCCTTCAACGGCCTCCCGAACGGCGGCGGC